TAAGTACTGTAATTGTTATTTAAATCAGTTTTTATTTAGGTCTTATACTTTGCTTATACTTTACAGATGCTTAAAAAACATTTAGCTGTGTGCTATTTGAATAGTAGTTATCACTCTCGAAAAGCAGAAATGATAAAAAATATACAGAAAATCGAAGAGGATGCGGTTAAACTAGAGAAGGAGAATATATGCTTTTGCTGCGGTGAAAGTTATGATACATTTCATGTAAGTTTGTCATAATCTGATAATTTCATAAATGTGTATATCTACGTTTAAAGGCAGAATAAAATTATAATTTTAATCTTCTCGTTTAAGAAATTCATTTTTGGATAGACAAATTCAATAAAGTGAATAAATAAAATTTTTTTTATTTCAATAAGTTCCTTATTTCTAATAAAATGTATCAGTAAATTAGTGAATATATTAATTTTATTATGATTCATATACACGTTGTAAATTGATTAAATTAACTTATTTTGATGTTAAAACCTTAGTACTTTAATTAATATTAAGAATATAAGTTAAGGTTCTTACTTAATTATTCTGTTATCTTGAAATTTTTACACTGTTAATTACGTATTTTGATGTATTTATTTTTTTTCTTTCTAATTTAATTTTTTTTTTTTTAGAGAGGTCATATATATTGCTCTGATTGCCCAAATTCATTTAAAACTCAAATAAGTTACGAACGACATGTTTTTATAACGCATTCGGAAGTTGATAAATTTCCTTGTTCCAAATGTGAAGCAAAATTGCGTACAGCTACGCTACTGAAGTTACACAAAAAGCAACACACAACTTCTGAAAGATTGTATGATTTTTGTACTTAAATTTTGAAAAATTTATAATTACAATTATAAATTTATTATTACAAAATATATATTTTTTAATTTCTGCAAAAGGCATAAACGTGCACATACAAGAAAGGAACCTTTTATTTGCGACTTTTGTGAGAAGAAATGTTTTTCACCGGGTGAATTGAAAATACATCGTCGTTGTCACACCGGTGAAAAACCCTACGCATGCACTGAAGTAAATGTTTATTTATTTTATTTTTATATAAGATTAATTAAAATAAATGTATAATTTTTTAGTGCAACCAAACATTTTCTACTAAGAGCTCACTTAATCGACATTTGAGACGGCATACAGGTGAAAAGCCCTACACTTGTACTGAAGTGAATATTTCATTTATTGTCATTTAATATTTAATAATAAGCATTCATTTTTTAGTGTGAAAAAAGTTTTGCTATTAAGCACGCACTCAATCGTCATATGGAGCGTCATATTGGTGATAAGTCACAGTATGAACACATATTAAAAACTAATAAGAAGTAATTATACTTAGGCTGAAAGAATAAATTTAATATAAGTTAAATTTTATAGACATAAAAAACAAATCCAAATTCATTCATCTAAAAGCAAGAGTAAAAATGAAAATCAGGAGGACAAACTGAAATGCAAAGATTGCAAAGCGATATATACGACAGAGGAAGAACTTAAGATTCATTATGAAACTGGAACTCATATACGTAAGTTATTTTTAATATATATAATATTTTAGTATATATGAAGAAATTAGTAATTGTTTTGAAAATGAATTTGAAATTAAAAAAAAATATAACATTTATTTAATAATGTTAAATCTACACGTATATATCATTTAATTTATTTTATAAATTTTATACAAACTGATAAGAAAATAACAACGCAGTTAGTTAAGAATGCAAGAGAGCATAAAGGAATTTACCAATACCGCAAAATATACTAATAAAAGTTTAGTCTGCATCTTCTATTTCAGCGGCAAAGTTAAATCCGATATTATCATATTCTTTGTATAATTTGTTGAGAACTTTAATGCCCAAAAGATTTTTCTAATAATATAAATAATATATGAACCAAGATTCAATGAAATTATTTTTTCTAAGCTTAGGGTACGTTTTCATATATATTTCAGCTGAATATAACAAAAGCAGCCCTAAAGATGTGAAAGAAAGAAAAAAAAACTGCACGCTATGTAGCATAGAATTTAATTCAGTTAAAGATTCGATCTTTCACTTCCTGAAGATACACAGAGAGCATCCACAGACTTTCCTCAGTGCTAAATGTGCCCAAAACTTAGAACCAAATAATGTCGCTACGTCATCAGAAAAGCATTACAGAAGTGATAATTCCAACGAAAACCCTATTGAAAATGTTACTCCAACTGATAACAATGTCTTGCCATCACTTAAATATGAAGAACTTTCGTCAATGGTAAATGGAGTTATTAAACAAGAATGTATAGTAGATGAAAGAACTGAACCAACCACAGAAAAATTATTATTCAATAACGAAAATAAAAGTGAAAGGATACAGCCAACACATATGAGTAATAATGAACAAATATACATCAATGATGAAGTTATTATGCAACAATTTATAAAACAAGAAGATCCCGATGCACCTGCAGAGAATTTACTATTAGAAAGCGAAATGTATAGTATTATAACAATAGAAAATGAGACTATTAAAAATGAACCAGAATCTGCTGTTACTGAAACTCCAGACGGTACAATTATAAATGATCGAATACCTCTCGATTATGGCGGTGTTTCACAAAAAGTAATAGAAAATAGTGAAACTGAAACAGTTACTGAGCAATTAATTATGGAAAACGAATCAACTGTGTTCAAGTAAGTGATATATACATAAATAAAGAAAATAAATATCATAATTTAAATTTTTGCAGTGTTCATAAAAGTAAAATCACAAATGAGCCATATATCAATTGCGACTCTTTTAAAAAGAAATTGCTGAAATTGGGTGTACAGAATGACCTTAATCGTTCTTACAACAGTGAAAACCCATACTCCTGTGCTAAAGTGAATATAATAATTACTGTTGTAAAAATAAACATAATAAGTGTATATTTATATTATTTTATTCTAGTGTAATAAAAGTTTCTCTCTCAAAAGGTCACTGAATTATCATATAAGGTATCATTGTGGTAAAAAACTTAATACGTGCACTGAAGTATATAATTTAATAAATTTTATTTAAATTTAAATAATATAAGTAAAAATATTTTTAATAGTGTAACAAAATTTTTGCTTCTAAGAAAGGACTCAATATTCATATGAGACAACATACTGGCGAAAGACCTTACAAATGCACTGAGGTATATATTTTAATTATTTTCAATTTAACAATCATTATAAGAAGTCTATATTTCTAATAGTGTAATAAAGGTTTTACTGTTAAGAGCTCACTTATTCTTCATATGAACCAGCATACTGGTGAAAAACCATGCATATGTACTGAAGTATATATTTCAATTGTTTTATATAATATTAAAAATAATAATTACATAACTTTTTAACTTTTTAAGTGTAATCAACATTTTTCTACAATGAGCTCACTCAGAATTCATATGAGGCGACATACTGGTGAAAAACCCTACAAATGCACTGAAGTACATATTATAATTATTTTATATTAGATTAAAAATAATAAGTATTTAATTTTGAAGTGTAATCGACATTTTTCTATAATGAGCTCACTCAAAAGTCATATGAGGCGACATACAGGTGAAAAGTCTTACACATGCCCTCAAGTATAGTTTTCAATTATTTTGATTTAATATATAACATAAGTAAATATTGGTTTTAGTGTGAAAAAAGTTTTGCTGTTAAAAAAGATCTTAATCGTCATATAAAAGGACATACTGGTGAAAAACCTTACACATGCACTGAAGTAAATATTGCAACTATTATTATATATAATTTCTATATGTAATGAGTATATATTTTTAACAGTGTAAACAATGTTTTGCTCGTAAGGAAACACTGAAACGACATATGAGACGACATACTGGTGAAAAACCATACACATGCACTGAAGTAAATATTTTTGTTGTTTGTAATAAAGTTTTGATCCCAAGCATAAATTTTTATAGTGTAGCAAAGGTTTTTCCGCTAAGAAGTCGCTTAATCTTCACATGAGGCAACATACTGGTGAAAAGCCATACACATGCACTAAGGTATACAGTTCCATTAATTTTATTTAAAATTAAATACAATAAATATATATAATTTTATTAGTGTGAAGAATGTTTTCTTCGTAAAGATCGACTCAATATTCATATGAGGGAACATACCGGGGAAAAACCCTACACATGCACTGAAGTATAAACTTGTATTTTAAAAATTTTTATTTGAGATGACAATATATTTTTAATAGTGTAAACAAAGTTTCACTCGTAAGGAGAGACTTGAAATCCATGTGAGGCGACATACTGGTGAGAAACCGCATTCATGAGTTACATATGCATCCACTCAAACACATAATAAATACAAATATAATATAATGGGTAATAAAGTTAACCCAGTATAAAATATACATTTTATTATTTTTACTGTTCGTGACAATTTCATATAATTTTATGATTCACAATATTGAACGATTTCAATATTGTTCGTGACAATTCCTAATTGGACAATTCGTCACACATTTCTAAATAGTAAATGGTACCATTGTTTAATAAACTAATAGATGTTTATTAATTATGCGTATTCAAGTTATAACAATGCATCTCTTTAACATCAAAGATCGATCATTAAACACGCACCTAATTATATTAGAAATTCTTCTATGATGATGCATCCAAGTAATATTGGTATAAAGTCACGTTCACCTAATTATCGATCCTAACATAAAATATGTTTTACGACACACTTTACAAGCATCGATCCTATTGGGTAATTACACAGATGCTTGGTTTATGATAGAATATTATTCTATCATTCATCCCATATAAAAACTGAATGCACCACTCAGAGGCAGTCAGTACAATTTCGACCATGTCTTCGCCATTATATTAAATTTCAAATCTCGTCCTCGTTAATAAAATAAATATCTTATTCGTGTGTGATTTTCTTTTATAAAAATAAATAAAATCTTAACTTTGTAAATGTTTAGTGAATGTTTAAATAAATAATAAAAATATATAAAAAGTGTCATTCGTGTTTTATTTTAAAAATATATTTATATAACATAAATATATAATTCATGCACTGAAGTAAATTTTGCTATTATTTTTCTTGAATATATAACTTTGAATATATAAGCACATATATTTTTTATAGTGTGGTAAAAGTTTTGTTAGTAAAGAAGAACTCAAGATACATATGAGGCGACATACTGGTGAGAAACCTTACTCATGTACGAAAGTCAGTTTTTCAATTACCTTTATTTAGTATTGTATAAAAATTAGATTTATGTTTTTTAGTGTAATAAAAAATTTGTTGCTAAGATAGGACTTAATCTTCACATGAAACGACATATTGGTGAAAAGCCACACGTTTGCCTTGAATGTGGAAAACGTTTTATGCTCGCCTTTGAGCTACGTTATCACAGTAAAACTCATTTACGACTATTTGCTTGCGATGAGTGTGACGAAAAATTCAAAACAAATAAAAAGTAACTCTATTTATATTAAAAAATTAAATTTATTAAAGGATTATTTTTACAGACTTTTAAAACATATCAGAATTCATTCATCTGTAAGAAAGCGGGAAAACAAAGCCCAGAAGCATAAATTCAAATTCATGGAATGCAATGTGGCAGAGGAAGAACTTAAAAATCATTACGACAGGGGAGATCATATAAGTGAGATCTTTGTAAAAATATAATATATGAGTATTTTGAGAAGCAATTAATAATTCTTTGTTTAAAAATTGCGTTGCTACTGTGACTTTTAATACGTATAACCTTACATGACAATTTTTATCTTTTGAAAAGAAAACTTTATTTTATTTTGGAACTATATTTAGCATGAGACTACAACAAAGAGTTTTCTTTTGTGTTTTTAGGCTTTAATAAACATAATATCTAAAAATTAAAACAGTCGTGTAATATCAAGATATTTTTTGATGTTTTCAAGGGTTTTCTTAAGGGTAGATTATAATAATAATATTATTTTCCAAATATTTTGTAAACTTAAACCTAAAAACACTAAAGAACATTAGGCTTTAAATGAAAGTGATTTATTTATTTATATATTTTTATATATTGTTTTTAAAATCAAGCATTAATCTTGTGAAATTTTGTAAAAACATTTGTATCAAAAATGTTTTGCTTATTACGAACCATTATAGAACGACGTTGTTAATAAGTTTTAAGTATTTATATATAAAGTATTATAAAATAAGACTATTATTCAATATTTACTGCATATTTTTATATATATTTCAGACGAATATACCAGCAGCAGCCTCAGCAGCCTGGATTCAGTTAAAGCTTTGAACTCTCAAATGCTTGAGGTGAATAAAAAGCATACAAAAACTTTGTGGAATGATGATATTGGGAAAAAATTAAAACGAAATGGTTTCGAATCTTCATTAATAAAGATTAACAAAATTGATGATTCAAAGGAAATTTCAACTGAAAATATTGTTAATACAGTTAATAACAAGAGTAAATTACAAATAAATTATGATGAAGAGATATCGTTGAAAATTGGAAGAGATATCGTTGAAAAATTATTGTTAAAAAACAAATTGAAGCCAAAAAGTACTAATAATCAAACATTAATCGCGAGTGGCTTTATTACACAACAATTTTTTAAGGAAGAAGAATCTGAAATAGCTACAAAGAGTTTACCTTTAGAAAACCAACTATACACTGTTATAACGCTAGAAAATGCTACAATAAAAACGGAACCAGAAAGTACCACAGAAAACTTCGTTTGATGAGCTTAAACAAGTTGAGTGTAAAGATTCCACAACGTGATCAGCGAAATGCACTGAGACAACATAAAGTGTGTTAGGTAGCACAGTATTCTAGACTGGAAAAAATTGAATTGAACTGACTTTCAAAGTGAAGAACGTGAAATTGATATTTACAAATAATTAATTAAATTTGAATTATTTACAAGTTATTGAAAGTTCTATTTAACTGTGTAAGCGTACTCGCACATTCACCTACAGCAGATAAAAAATCAAGAGTGAATGGCGTGTATCTTCCCATAAGGCACTATATTACGAATAAAAGTTTTCTTTCAACAAAACATACAACTTAGAAAATAACAACGTGTCGAGGGAGGGAAAAACGTAACCTAGAACAGGGAAAATTTGTTAACAACAAGGCGGAGCCACACAACGTACAAAATTATATCACTGCCCAATAATTATCCAATAATAATAAAATAAAAACAAAAGACGAATTGTATTTTAATAAAGTTGAAGAACATACAAAAATTTTTCTTTCAAGGCTACACTCGATCTTCATATAAAACGTCGTATTGGTTGAAGTACTGAAGTGTACTGAAGTGAATTTTAATGATTTTATTTAATATTAAAAATAAACTATGTATTTATTATAGTGTGATAAAAGAACTCAATCTCCATATTGCAATTATTTTCATTTAACATTACTTAATAAACATTTCGGAATTACTCAAGCGTCATATGCGCCGACGTACTAGTAAAAAACCCATTACATGCTCTTCAAAGTTTTTCTGTTAAGCAGGCGTTTATAATTCATATGAAACAGCCGACATACTGGTGAAAAGTAACGCCATTGCAACGAATGTGTAAAACCTTTTTTACAATCTATTTACATAGCTACGTTGTCACAGAAAAACTCATTTACGCCCATTTGCTGTGATCAGTGTGAAGAAAAAAGCAAAACTTATAAGAAGTATGTGGTTCTATTTTTTCTTTAGAAGCAAGAGTGATTGGTGCTTCCTCCATTTAATCACTCCGTCAAGTGTTTCCACAGTTTTCTCCTACGTCTTTTTTGACTAATACTTCAAATTCTTGAACATAAAGACGTTAGGGGTACGATTTTGCAGCATAATTATTAAGTCCACTGCCGAAGTTGATTCTGCAGGTAGGATCAAGGTAATAAGACCAAATTTTCCTAGCGATGTTGTGCACGTTGCTTCTGCCTGCCCGCCATTCGGAGACAGATGATGTATACAACGTGATCAAATAAGCCAAGGCTTCGAAAGTTCTTGGGCCAGATGGAATTTCAATGCTTATGCTCAAGCACATTGGGGCCATTGGCCTTCAATTTTACTCATATTCTGAACACCTCATCCCAAACATATGATAGACTGGGAGCATAATCCTTCAGCTGAAATCGGGCAATGCGGTTGCCCTAGGTAAAACATCCATCCCTGACAGCACAAAAACAATGTTTCTGCAATTATCTTGTAGGTAAATCATCCTTTGTTGATTTTAGATACAAGGTATCTAAAGCCATGAAATTGAAACAAGGTTTTCCTCAGGGCAGCGTTCTTTCACTGATTCTTTTTAATCTCTACATGTCTAAACTCCCAGATCCCTTTGAGGGAGTCAGATAAATAATGCATGCAAACGACTATGTAACCGATTGACCAACGTGCTAAAAGCTCTTTACCCCAAGAGATCGCTCTTGAAACCCTGGTAAGCACATGCAAAGCAATATGTCGTCCTATTGTGGCATATGTAGCTCCAGTATGGACTCCACAACTCTGTGAGTAGCAATGGACTAACATCCAATCATGTCAAAACACACACTGCTCTTCGGATTGTAACTCGCTGTCATCTAATGTTGCATGTTGACCACCTTTATGCGGAATCAAAATTACTTCTTGTAAAAGAACATAACCAACTGCTGTCCAAGCAATTCCACACAGATGGACATTCTAATGGTGCCATGGCTAGTAGTGCGCTCCCTCCAAGACGTATTCGTCGATTTCTTGCTTCCTACTAAGGATGCCTGTTATCTCTCAGGAAAAACGGCGTCTCTCCCGTGCAGCAAGAACTGTCCTAGCTCAATTTAGATCAGAGTATAGCCATGTGTTAAACAGTTACTTATCACGCATAAACACGTCTATTCCTAATGTGTGCCCAAACTGCAGCTTTATCCCCCATGATGTCGCCCATATATTTTATTGTCCCTCTACGCACACAAATTTTAGTCAATTGACCTTTGAACTTAACCTAATGTTCTCTCTTCCCCCTTTTTCACATTAACCTTACTACAAACACCATCCATCTACATCCCAACCCATGCATTCGTCTTGTAATCCTTAGATGGTTTCTGCTTTTCAGATCTCGGCGGACTATAATCACGTCAACGACACTGAGATTTTCGATTATATTGGATATAGCGCTTTATCTTCCAATATATAAACTGTAATAAAAAATTCAATTAGTTTTAAAAATAAATGTAATAACAAATCTACATATTTTGAATTTCTATACCCATATCGTACACACGACTGCTACCAATTATGACTATTATGCGATTAAAATGGAGTCAGTCAGAAGGTAATCAACCTGACGTCCCCATTTTTCCAGCTCCTTTTTAAAATATCGAAAGAAAAAAATTCAATATTTAATATTTATGAATTAAACATAAATTAAATTAAACTTACTTAAATCGGTTAGTCAAATTATGTACTTTAATCTTCACTGTGTTTTTCTTAAAGTTCATATTACACCTCGCTATTCCAGCCGCAATATCAGTGTATACATGGCTGGGCGGTCAGCTCTTTTTAGGCGGGAAGTAATGGATAGAAATGTGAGATTCCTTGCTAAGGGGTTAACATGTTCTGTCAGCCTTTTATTATATTTTTCTCTTATATTGTCAAATTCTGCTTTAACTAAGGGAATTTGTAGATCTCGGAGGATACTTTCATTCCTAATATACCATGAGGCACCAGTGATTGTTCTCAGTATTTTTGACTGAGCTCTTTGAATAATTTCATTAGCATTATCTAAGTCCATATTGGTTTGATAATGCTTTGAAGCATTAGCATTACCATAAGTCTATATTGGTTTTATAATGCTGTTATACAAAAGTATTTTATACTCTAGGCACAAGGAGAATCTGTTATTAATGAACGAATGCAATTTAGGGGCTTGGAGCTTCATCTGAATTTTTTTAGCTTGAAGATGCTTGCGCCAAGTTAACCGTCCGTCTAGGTGAATATCTAAGTAAGTTATATTATCTGCTTGTGGTATAGGAATGAAATTTGGTAAAATTGTTGGAGATGTGCTTCGATTTAAGGTAAAAATGACGAATTTAAATTGTAGTTCATTAATTTTTATTCGACATTTTGACAACCATTTCTCCACCCAAAATAAATAAGATTGCAGTTGGTTTGAAGCTAACACAATGTTTTAATTTCGACATAAAATTGCCATCTCATCGGCAAACGTTGTGGTGACAAGTGAGTTACTTATTGGGATATCAGATGTGTAGAGTACATACAAGATAGGGCCAAGAACGTTTCCTTGTGGAACGTCAGCTTCTATTTCTAATTCAAATCATAATCAAGTGAACTAAATTATTGGAGCATATAACATATATTATTTGAATTAAAACAATTGTTTGCATTAACCAAAATATTTTTAAATCACTGAAAAAGAAATTATTGCAACAAAACGCGAAAATACAACTTGTATTGCGATCAGAACAATATATAAAATAAATAAATAAATAAAACTCGTTAAATAAATTGCAACTCTGGTGTTGAGAAACAATTCCCAGTACTTTTTTTAATTGGATTTATTGACACATTTTGTAAAAGCAACAAATATTAGTTGAAGTAAACGAAACTTTTGAGTTTGTTTTTGTTGATATTAACTATGCATGTATAATGATTTTGTTATTACAACAATTGGATAAAATTATAAGACTTATATGTGTATGAACTTAATAAAATATACGAATAAAAATTGCAAATTTCACTATTAATTACTTATTTAGTATCTTAATATAAACGCATGTGAATAATATATTAAGGAAATTGCTTTCAAAATTGATTATAAATAAATTTGTTTGATGCAGAGATAAAATTCTATTTAAATTATTTACTATCTATTTGCAATGTTTCTAAGTATTGCTGATAGTATAATAATATTAATATATAACGTAAAGAATAATTATTTTAATAATATATTTCTTCGTTGAAAATGAATGATTTCAATTATTAGTAAAGTAACAACAATTAAAAAAATTACTTCACTGTTTTGAAAGACGAACGCTTTTTCACTCAAACGGTCGCTTAAATAAATTGAAAAGTTGACCAGGACAGCTAAAATAAAAAAAAAATGAGTCACGACGTTTTAAAAACCATTTCCATTAAAAACGAAGTAGGCCCAAACATTGATTTTTTATTAACGGATAAAGATATAGTGAAATCGGAGGACAAAATTTCTAATATAAATGATAGGGTCCATTTGAATGCTGACGGTACAAAAGAAGCAGTTAAGGATCGTATTCCAAAATACAAATGCGGTAGCTGCTTGAAGTCATATAAAGTATTTGGTGTAAGTACTGTAATTGTTATTTAAATCAGTTTTTATTTAGGTCTTATACTTTGCTTATACTTTACAGATGCTTAAAAAACATTTAGCTGTGTGCTATTTGAATAGTAGTTATCACTCTCGAAAAGCAGAAATGATAAAAAATATACAGAAAATCGAAGAGGATGCGGTTAAACTAGAGAAGGAGAATATATGCTTTTGCTGCGGTGAAAGTTATGATACATTTCATGTAAGTTTGTCATAATCTGATAATTTCATAAATGTGTATATCTACGTTTAAAGGCAGAATAAAATTATAATTTTAATCTTCTCGTTTAAGAAATTCATTTTTGGATAGACAAATTCAATAAAGTGAATAAATAAAATTTTTTTTATTTCAATAAGTTCCTTATTTCTAATAAAATGTATCAGTAAATTAGTGAATATATTAATTTTATTATGATTCATATACACGTTGTAAATTGATTAAATTAACTTATTTTGATGTTAAAACCTTAGTACTTTAATTAATATTAAGAATATAAGTTAAGGTTCTTACTTAATTATTCTGTTATCTTGAAATTTTTACACTGTTAATTACGTATTTTGATGTATTTATTTTTTTCTTTCTAATTTAATTTTTTTTTTTTTAGAGAGGTCATATATATTGCTCTGATTGCCCAAATTCATTTAAAACTCAAATAAGTTACGAACGACATGTTTTTATAACGCATTCGGAAGTTGATAAATTTCCTTGTTCCAAATGTGAAGCAAAATTGCGTACAGCTACGCTACTGAAGTTACACAAAAAGCAACACACAACTTCTGAAAGATTGTATGATTTTTGTACTTAAATTTTGAAAAATTTATAATTACAATTATAAATTTATTATTACAAAATATATATTTTTTAATTTCTGCAAAAGGCATAAACGTGCACATACAAGAAAGGAACCTTTTATTTGCGACTTTTGTGAGAAGAAATGTTTTTCACCGGGTGAATTGAAAATACATCGTCGTTGTCACACCGGTGAAAAACCCTACGCATGCACTGAAGTAAATGTTTATTTATTTTATTTTTATATAAGATTAATTAAAATAAATGTATAATTTTTTAGTGCAACCAAACATTTTCTACTAAGAGCTCACTTAATCGACATTTGAGACGGCATACAGGTGAAAAGCCCTACACTTGTACTGAAGTGAATATTTCATTTATTGTCATTTAATATTTAATAATAAGCATTCATTTTTTAGTGTGAAAAAAGTTTTGCTATTAAGCACGCACTCAATCGTCATATGGAGCGTCATATTGGTGATAAGTCACAGTATGAACACATATTAAAAACTAATAAGAAGTAATTATACTTAGGCTGAAAGAATAAATTTAATATAAGTTAAATTTTATAGACATAAAAAACAAATCCAAATTCATTCATCTAAAAGCAAGAGTAAAAATGAAAATCAGGAGGACAAACTGAAATGCAAAGATTGCAAAGCGATATATACGACAGAGGAAGAACTTAAGATTCATTATGAAACTGGAACTCATATACGTAAGTTATTTTTAATATATATAATATTTTAGTATATATGAAGAAATTAGTAATTGTTTTGAAAATGAATTTGAAATTAAAAAAAAATATAACATTTATTTAATAATGTTAAATCTACACGTATATATCATTTAATTTATTTTATAAATTTTATACAAACTGATAAGAAAATAACAACGCAGTTAGTTAAGAATGCAAGAGAGCATAAAGGAATTTACCAATACCGCAAAATATACTAATAAAAGTTTAGTCTGCATCTTCTATTTCAGCGGCAAAGTTAAATCCGATATTATCATATTCTTTGTATAATTTGTTGAGAACTTTAATGCCCAAAAGATTTTTCTAATAATATAAATAATATATGAACCAAGATTCAATGAAATTATTTTTTCTAAGCTTAGGGTACGTTTTCATATATATTTCAGCTGAATATAACAAAAGCAGCCCTAAAGATGTGAAAGAAAGAAAAAAAAACTGCACGCTATGTAGCATAGAATTTAATTCAGTTAAAGATTCGATCTTTCACTTCCTGAAGATACACAGAGAGCATCCACAGACTTTCCTCAGTGCTAAATGTGCCCAAAACTTAGAACCAAATAATGTCGCTACGTCATCAGAAAAGCATTACAGAAGTGATAATTCCAACGAAAACCCTATTGAAAATGTTACTCCAACTGATAACAATGTCTTGCCATCACTTAAATATGAAGAACTTTCGTCAATGGTAAATGGAGTTATTAAACAAGAATGTATAGTAGATGAAAGAACTGAACCAACCACAGAAAAATTATTATTCAATAACGAAAATAAAAGTGAAAGGATACAGCCAACACATATGAGTAATAATGAACAAATATACATCAATGATGAAGTTATTATGCAACAATTTATAAAACAAGAAGATCCCGATGCACCTGCAGAGAATTTACTATTAGAAAGCGAAATGTATAGTATTATAACAATAGAAAATGAGACTATTAAAAATGAACCAGAATCTGCTGTTACTGAAACTCCAGACGGTACAATTATAAATGATCGAATACCTCTCGATTATG